GGGCGCGGCCGCGGCGAGGCCGGCGGCGGGGCCTGCGACGGCGAGGCGCGCGGCCCAGGCGTCGACCGACGCGCGGGAGGCGCAATCTGCAAGGCGGAGGCTTCGGAGGGCCGGCTGGGGCAGCGCCGATAGGACGGCGTCCGTGACGGCGCCTGGCAGCGGCAGGGGGCGCGGTGGAGCCCGTAGATGCACGTGAGTCATCCACGACTGGTAGCGATGCGGGCGATCATTAACAGCGTTCACATAACGAGGCTGTGATGCTGCTCCCAGTGTTTCGATTCAGTGCAAACAAAATTGCTGTGTCCCACGAGCCTAGCGCAGCGCGATCGGGCCTGCGGTGCCGGCCACGGCAGCGGGCACATTCAAGCCCCGCCGGCCAGGCGTAGCACGGCGTGGCGCACCTGGCAGGCCACCTGCCGGTGGTATAGGCCACAACGTGGCAGCTACCACGTGCCTTTTATGCCGCCTATCCATCCATGCCCCTGGGCGCCCTCGGGTGCGGGTCTGGCCTGTACGACTTGGCGACCGAGGCTCCGATATGGCCGAATCAATGCAGCTAAGAGGTTTCGGGTCAGTCCACGACATTCCGAGCGACATTGCAAAGATCGACGACTTGGTCACACTCGTACGCGGTCACCCGAGGTGCGAGCGCGGCCACACGACCAACCACAAACTCATTTACAGTAGAAGGCAAGCGCTCCTATCAAATGAATGTATGCGATCCTTTTGCACGATCCCAATCATGCAAGTAGGAAAGGGCTAGATTTGAAGCGGTGATTTTGTACAGTATGCAACAGCTGCTGCGGCAGCTGAGCTCACGCCGCACCGCTGTTGGACCTGGCAGGGCGTCAATTGACTGCCTGAACACAAGTTGGCAAGCCTCAGTGGCTCTTGGAGTCTCGTTGCAGCTGCAAAAGCAGGCTATTATTTTGCAGACGGCCGGCGTGTGATGACCAAAAAACAACCTTGTGCCCATGAACCCAGACGGCCTGCATGCCGCCAATTGACCGCCCTCAACCTCAACCCCTCGGCAAGTCCTGGCATCCCATCCTGGGCGTGCTTGCTGCTTCATTAACTGGATCGCCAAGTACGACCTCCACCAAACCCTTGGCTGCCCGTTACAGCACGCGAGGCGCGCCCGCCTGCCCGCCCGCCTGGCGCAGCGCAGCGAGTACCAGCGTCACTGCTGCTTGCCAGCCCCGCGCACCCGGTCCAGAATGGACTTGGCCGACCGCACAGCGCCCGTGATGGGGCTGGACGCAGCGGACGCGTTCATGAACGCCAGCTCCAGGTCGCTCTGCTTCGGCCGCGTCTTCATCTGGCCCACCTGGGGCGTCGCCGTGGCAGCGGTGGATTGGGCGGGGTCGGGGGCGGCTGGGCAGGTTGTTTCGGAGGCGGGGGTCGAGCAGTGCGCATGCGGCTGCAGTGGATGGCGATAGACGCGCAAAGGCGCACGCGCTCAGGAGCGTCAAGGACGGAAGTAATGCGGCTCAGAGCGGCTCACAGCGGCTCAGTGCGGCACCGTTCTGCGGCAGCAGAGGGGCCGCGCCCGTGGCGCAGCTGCCCCGCGCACTCAGACCTGCAGGAACCGGCCGTCCCGCTGCACTGTCAAGATCTGCCAGGGCACGCCCGCCAGCGACCCGCCCTTGGCAGTCCGCCGCAGCACAGCACCCTCCTGCCCGCCCACCAGCCCCTGCGAGACGGGGTGTAGGGTTGGGGCGGACGGCGGTGGCGCGCGGCCGGCGTCGCTGCGGAAAAGAGCAGGCCCAGGTGGCCGACAAAGGAGCACGAGCGAGGTTGCCCGGTCTGGCCACCCGCACACCCCTCAATTCAGGCGGCTGCCGACGTCGAGAAATCGTACAAGAGGCAGCCCACAGCGTGTCCACGCGCGCCGCTGCCCGAAGCGGCATCGCGTAGCTCCGCAAAAGCGGCGCGCGCCACGCGTGCACAGCAGCGGCACGCGCGCGGCCCTGCGGCCCGCACCTTGATGGCAACAGGCATGAAGCTGTAGGCCACCTCGAAGGACCGCACCACCGCCTCGTACTCGCGCGGCACGCCCTCGCCCCAGGAGGGGTTGAGCGCCACGGCGCAGGGCCCCGACCAGACCTCCTGCACTAGCTGCTCCACCAGGGCCACCTGGCGCCGCGCGTGGCGGGGGTGGGGGCGGAGGCACGGGCGGGAGGGCAGAGGCGGCTTGTGTGTTTGTGTGTGTATGTGTGTGTGTGTGTGTGTGTGTGTGTGTGTGTGTGTGTGTGCGCGCGCGTGCACTGGTGGATCAGGTCAAGGGGTTGCGCCTGCGAGCCTGTTGGGGGAGTGACACACCGCCGCCTGCGGGTTGACCCCCGGCACTAGTGCGCACGTGCTTGCGCGCCCCGCCCGCCGCCACGCACCCGCCACGCACCTCTGCAATCGTCGGTGACACGATCAGCAGCGGGCCGCCCAGCGCCTCCGCACGGCACGCGTCCCGGAGGGGCTGCGCCCGCGCCTGGCCCGCCCGCGCCGCCGCGGCCGCAGCCGCCGGGTCGGCGTACACTATTTGCCAGGCGGCCGGCGCGCCCGGCAGCAGCTTCAAAACCTCCAACGCCAGCGCGGCGGTCGCGGCCGGGCTGGTGTCCGCGACAGGCAGCTCAACGGCAAAACGCTGGTACCCGCCGTTCCCGCCGCCGCCTGCCGTCTTGGCGCCAAAGCCCTGGGGCCGGGGGTTGATGCGTGCCGAGCGGATGCGGGATGCAAGCCGGGACGGGACAACGAACTCCGAGGCCGAAACGCGCGCCGGCACAGCCCCAGCGCATGTGCCATGGGGCTCCGAGCCAGCGGGTGCCCGGCCAGCGCCCGTCAGCCCAGCCCAGCCCAGGGGGTACCTTTTTTGCCTTTTTGGCGGCGCTGCTGCCCCCGGCGCCGCCCGCCAGCAGCGGCTTGAGTTGCGGGATGAGCGCGGCGGCAGACTGCTGCACCTGCGGCAGGCGATGGGGGCGGCCGCGGGGCGTGCCCGGCAGGCTGAGCTTGGCTGGAGGACAGACACTGTCAGCACCGCCGGCTCGTCCTCGACGGCGGCACCCACTTAATCGACCGAGCTGACTGCTGCGTTGCGTGCACCTCAGTTTTAGAATCCGTCGCCTGCTCACCGCGGCGTCTTGGCTCTCTGGAATGTCCACATACACTGCTTGCTGCTGCTGGATGGGCGCCCCTGTTGGCGACGCTGCGGCGACATGGGCGCAGCGCACGCTATGCTGTGGGCATGTAGCAGGTGCGGCCGGCGACCAGCCATTGATCTGGGGCGCGTGGCCACGCTTTGATTGCCTGCACTGAGGCCTCGAAAATCGAAGAGCGCTGCTTCCCGGGCCAATGCCCGCCTGTGCGCTGTGCTTGAGCCGCATGGTTGCGTCCATTGTAAAGTTGTCTGCAGCTGTGACATAAGATTCCAGCGTGTTAGCGGGATCGTAGATCACTCAGAATTTGTTTGATCACTGGAAGTGCAAGGGATTCGACAACTGTCAACTCGCATGCGGATAGGGGTTTACAGCAGAAGGGAACTGTCTTCAATGCGGAATGGAGATATGCATAGTGATGCTGCATATACTGCCTGCTAGCAATTGCAGGCAGCGCTTCATCGGGTGAGTAGAAGCAAGCAGCCCGGGCGCTGGGCGCGTAGTGTGTGTAAAGGATGGGCGCGTGGGCAGGGCATCCGCTCGTTCTGCCGCTGCCCCACCGGTGTGGGGTGACCTGGGGGCCCGCCCTGAGCGCTGGGGGGCCCTCAGATGACGCCCTAAGGTTGGCCCTTGCGGTGCTGCCTGGCGCACACCTCGCGCCTCCGGGTCTGAGCACACCCAGGCGGCACCTGAGTGGCTGTAACACCATCAGGTGCTTCATCAGGTGCTAGCTGCATGGAGTTGTAGGACCGGGGGCTCTGGCAAGCGCGTGAAACCAATTGATGGGTTTGGGCGAGTAGATGCACACACCAGAGATGGAGAAACGCCAGTGCAGCATTGAGGCGACCAAGGCTGCTTTGCGAATGCAGAGGTGAATTGACCGTGAATCAGTCCGTGCCTTTCCGAGGGTTTGCAGGGGTTGTTGACCAGCGTATTGGCAGGTTGTCCGGAAGTGTCAGTCCTGGTGTGAGGCTGGCTGCCGCCTGTGTCGATGGGGAGATTGAGATCAAATGGGGTGAATGTCCCAGTGGGATATTCATCACAAAAGTTTTGAAACACCCATCAGGGCAACGCACGCACACGCAAGGTATGCATGCTGCATCAGAGATACATTTCAGTACCTGCTAGTTTTCGTGTTCACTTCACTGTTTTCGTTTGAGTTTCGCTCCGCGGCGGCCCCAACCCTCGACGGGCGGTTCTCGCTTTCACGTTCACGACCGACTCCGTAGCTACTAGACCCTACCAAAGCGTGCGCGCTGGAATTCGTTGCAGTCACTGTTGTTGCGGTTGTTCGCTCAAGCGTGAGCTCTTGCGTTGCGACAGGCCGGCGACAAGCAGCAGTAGCGCTGCACGTCACCTCCCGTTGAGGAAAGATGCACACCTCCTCCCGTCGTGGAAAGATGCACACCTCCAACCCCATCAGCTTCAAGGCGATGATGACTGTCCTGGCCGCACTGGGTGAGTCACATGTCATGCCAGGAAGGAGGCCGGGCGAGCAGTGACAGAGTCAACCTATTGCACCGCATGACCCCGGCCGGGCTTTCGCCAGCAGTGCTCGCACCTTCACCCCAGCAGCACATGCAATCCACATGGCCATGCAACATCTTTGACTCTCGTCGCAGCCCTTGGCGCCGCCACCGCTGAGGCGCGCCGCTTGCACCAGGTGTCCCCTGGCTGGAGCCAGGCTCCCCGTGCGATGACCCAGCGCGAGCTGGATGCACGAGCGGCGCTGGTGCAGGCCGCCGCCCAGATTGATGTCGCCGGGGACTGGAGCCTTGTTGTGCCATGGATCCCTGGGAACGCAAATCGAGCCTGGCGGACGTTCCCCCAGCTGTGGCCTGGCAGGACTAACCACGTTGCCGAGGCAGGGGTGAGCAAGACGGAGGCTTCGTCCTCGCCCGTGCCCGCGGTGACTGGTGTCACACCTGCGCCTGTGCCCGAGAGCGAGGATAGCACATATGATACGGCCGGCAGCACGCTGCGCGGCTTGCCCTGAAAGGCCAGCAGCGTTTGAAGCGCGCCGACTTTGCATAAGGTTGGGTGGGAAGGGGTGACCGCGTGTGCGTCTGACCCGTGCGCCATGCCGATCTTCACTCGCTCATGGTGGATCTTTCTCAAACTTGGTGTGCCGCCATGAACAAATTGAACCCATAGGGGTTCATGGCGGCACATCAAGCAACAATTCATGCATGCATACATGCATTGTTGCAAATACCGTACGTGCAAGGCATGCCGTTCGCATGACACAGTTTTCTGGCTTTGCACCCCTGTGGCCAATCTGCATGTTTCTTGTCCCACCGCAAAAACCTCCCGCTAGAAACTCCCCCTCAACCACTCGTACGCCTTGATTCTTTTCGATTTGCCCACAAACCAAGCCACTGCTCTCCAAGGCTTGGCTCCAACCACACAGGGCAGATTATGCTGGCCATTCATGCCAGGCAAATGCTCATGCTACACAACAGACATTGTGCCTGCCAACCAATGCCATGTCGTTTGTGAAGTTCACGCCAATCGACTCGCCGCAAGATCAGTATCACAATACGCTGGAACAGTGCCACAGCCACCCAGATGGCCACCCCTTGCGGCAGAAGATGCGCTGCACTGCCTGGACATATAAGTGTGCTTGCGTTATGAGCCCGTGCCAAGTGCCGCTTTGGGTAAATTGAGAGCGCAAGTTATGGGGTGTCAAGGCCAGTAGTCAGCCTGTATGCTGCATGAGCATGCAAGGGGCATTTGGTGCTGTGCAGTTGCAGAGTACAGCATTGCATCTGGCCTCTCCCAGTGAAGTATACGTGTGCAGGAACAATTCAAGAGTGTGTCATTGGAAGGGTACACGGTTTGGCAGTAAGAGAGCATGGTGCCAATCCTCCCATCGCCATCCTCAGGCGGACTGCCCGTTAGTCCAGCTGCGCTGTGCTGCATCGGTAGCTCCCGCTTCCGGTGCCCAGAAAACGCCCGCATTTAATGTCGAAACACATATTAACAATTTAATAATCAATTAGCATTCGTCTGTAGCACGATACTCGCTGCACCACCGAAAGTCACTGTGCGCGGGCCACGATCTCGGACGCGTGCTAACCGGTGAGCATACAAGGCAAAGGTGCACGACAAAGCGCTCATTCCAGGATGATCGTGCATGTTCCCTCGCTGCTGAGTCGACTGCAGCAGGGGGCCACAGGCGCCGGTAGGAGCAGTAGGTGGGAGTCCGTGCGCCGCCCGTGGCCATGAGCGGCCATCTCCAACACGATCATCCCCCCCTGCGGCATACATTTTGCAGGTCCTTACATCACCATGTTCTCCATCACCCGTAAGAGCGCCAAGGCGCCGGCGCTGGCCGCTCTGCTCGTCGTCCTGGGTGAGCACAACCAGCTGCCAGGGATACTCCCCCCTGCTGGGCTGCTTGGGGACTGATCCGCCGCTAGCGGCAGCCACAGGCCCGTGCTGCAAGCTGATTGAACTATCCCATCAGCTGCAGTGGCCCTTAATGCACGGCATCAGCACACCGTAGCAGTGGTCACGCCTTGGTTCTTGCTCAGCTTTTGCTCCTGACCGCGGCCTGCTGCCGCCCGGCCCACCCTTGCGGCCTCTGCCCCGCCCTCACAGCCCCTGCCCCCCCCCC